TTTTTCTTCCTGAGACAGTTTTGCTTTATAGCCCTGGCACTCAGTGTAGTCCAGGCTTGAATTAATGGTTCTCGATCCTCCAGATATAGCAGGAGTCTGAGGGCGGAAGGGGCGCCACACTTGTATGGCCGCAAGGCAGGGATGGGCTTGACTTCTCAAGGGGGAGAGTCACATCAGTTATACATACATATCTAAATTTATTTTATGTACATATACACTTGACTGTATGTACAAGTGATTCTGGGATCCCTGCAGAGGCGACAAGGGCTTGTAATATCTAAGTTCTCCTTAACTCCAGCCCTAGGAGCCCTGACTTCCCCTTCTGGTCTAAGGGCACCTACACTACGGCCCACACAACCCCACACAGACACACATTAAAAAATGAAATTAAAGGGGGCTGGAGAGATGGCTCAGAGGTTAAGAGCATTGCCTGCTCTTCCAAAGATCCTGAGTTCAATTCCCAGCAACCACATGGTGGCTCACAACCATCTGTAATGGGGTCTGGTGCCCTCTTCTGGCCTGCAGACATACACACAGACAGAATATTGTATACATAATAAATATTATAAAAAAATAGAAAAAAAATGAAATTAAGTCAGGCAGTGCACACCTTTAAATCCCAGCACTCTGGAGGGAGAGGCAGGTGGATCTCTTGAGTTCCAGGACAGCCAAAAAGTACAGAGAAACACTGTGTGATAGTTTGAAGGTAACTGGTCCCCAAAATCTCAGCGATGGCACTACCAGGAGGAGTGGCTTTGTTGGAGTGGGTATGCCCTTGTTGGAGGAAGTGTGTCACTGTGGGGTGGGCTTTGAAGTTTCCTATGCTCAGGATACCATCAGTGTCTCAGTCAACTTCCTAATGCCTGAAAGATGTAGGACTCTGAGCTACTCCACCAGCACCACATCTACCTGCATGCTACCATGCTTTTGGCCGTGATAACGGACTGAACCTCTGAAACTAAGCCACCACCTTGATTAGATGTTTTCCTTTATAAGAGTTATCATGGTCATGGTGTCTCTTCACAACAGAAACCCCAACTTTAAGGCTGTCTTGAAAGACAACAACAAAAAACAAAACCAGCTGGGTAATGATGGCACATGCCTTTAACCCCAGCATTCAGGAGAAACAGGTAGATCTCAGTGAGTTTGTGGGTGGCCAGTCTGGTCTACAAAGTGAGTTTCAGGACAGCCAGGGCTACACAGAGAAACCCTGTCTCACAGAAGAAAGACAAAACAAAAACCAAACAAAAAACAAAAACAAAACGCAAAACAAAACTCAAAATATATGTGAGCAGGCGAATACAAATCTAACAGTATAGAAACTCATATATATGGAAGTAAGCAAAAATCCATATAGGAATAAAAACTAAGAACTTAAAACATTTATGCACACACACAATATACAGACTAGAATTGGAAAATACTTTTAAATTTTATTTTTTGTGTGCAGGTGTGTACGTGGGTACACATATGCCATGGTTTGAAATGTGGAGGTCAGAAAACAATCTGAGGAAGTTCTTTTCTACCCTATGGGTCCTGGGGATTGAACTCAGGTCCTCAAGATTGGTGGCAGATGCCTTTCCCACTGAGCCATTTGCTAGCCTTGTTTTTTTTTGTTTTGGAAACAAGGTTTCTTTGTAGCTTTGGAGCCTGTCCTGGAACTAGCTCTTGTAGACCAGGTTGGCCTCAAACTCATGGAGATCCACCTGCCTCTGCCTCCCGAGTGCTGGGATTAAAGGTGTGCGCCACCACCGCCCGGCCATTTGCTAGCCTTGTAATTACATATATTTAGAGATGGATTATGTAGCCTTGGCTATCCTAGAACTTGCTATGGAGACCAGTCTGGCCTCAAATCCCGAGATCTACTTGTCTCAGATGGAATATAAAGCATGCACCACCACACCCAGCTTAAATTGAAGGTAATAAAATTATTGAACTGAGGGCGCAGTGGTTGAGAGCTTCCTTTTCTCGCACAGGTTCTCGCCACCGCAGCAGCTCACAACCATCTGTAGCTCGCTCCAGTGTATCTACCACCTTCTGACCTCTGTGGGGCACCATGAACACATGTAGGCATACATGCAGGCAAAACACACACACAAATAAATACATCTAAAAAAAAACTTGCTTAAAGTGGGTAAAGGACACAGGAAATTCTCAGGAGAGGAAATCCATCAATAGAAGGAATGCTCTATCCTATTAGTAGTTACCAGGGAAACACAGTGGAATTTCATTGTTTTAGAATTGAACTTTATTATTGTGTGTATGTGTATGAGGGCATACACACGCCGCAGTTGACATGTGGGAATTAGAAGACAGCTTTGTGGAACGTGAATATCTCCTTCTACCCTTACATGGGGTACTAAGGACGAACTCAGCTGGTCAAACATGCACAGCAAGAACCTTTACCTGCTGAACCATCTGAAAATTCAAAGTTCCAAATATGTTCTGAGCACTGATGCACAAGTGGAGGAAAATCCGTAACTAATCTCACCTGATGGGCTACAGTCAAATGCAGGCAGACTCCAACTATTGAGTGAACTTATCTTCAGGCTATAACATGCATATCAAACAGAAATGACTTTCATGCTCACACCCAGGTCCCAGGGTCTCTCATAATGCCAATAGCTATAGAAAGATTCTAATACCCGAAAAAGCCTAAAGCCAGAAACACCTGTCACCAAGCATTTAGGATAGTGGTTATTCAACCTGTGTTTCACATCTGCAAAAGTTTTCCAAACCTAGAATTTTTTAAAAGAGATTTATTTTTATTTATGTGTATGTGTTTGCATGAGTATGCTCACAGGTGTATGGGTGTCCAGGGAAGCCAGAAAAAAACATTAGCTTCTCTGAAGCTCGAGTTACAGCTGTGAAGTTGTGAGCGCCTGATGTGGGTGCTAGGACTTGAACTCATGTCCTCTGGTAGAGCGGTACAGGCTCTGAGTCATCTCTGCAGCCCCTAGATATATTTTTTGGGTTTGTTTGTTTTTCGAGACAGGGTTTCTCTGTAGCTTTGGAGCCTGTCCTGGAACTAGCTCTTGTAGACTAGGCTGGCCTCGAACTCCGAGATCTGCCTGCCTCTGCCTCCTGAGTGCTGGGATTAAAGGCATGCGCCACCACCACCTGGCTCCTTGATATGCTTTTAAAGTTAAAAATAATTTTTACATGTATAATCCAATGTGTATATGGTTTTCAGAAATAAAGTAAATGTTTGTGTTTTGTTTTGTTTTACAAAACATGGTTTCTCTGTGTAACAGCCTATGCTGTCCTGGAACTCACACTGTAGACCAGGCTGGCCTTGAACTAACAGAGTGCTGGAATTAAAGGTGTGTGCCACCACTGTCCAGCAAAAGTAAATGTTTCAATTTTGTACTCCTACCACATTTTGACTGCCTACATTCAAAAGGTAAATGTTCAGCCAGGTGCAGTGTTCATGCCTGTAGTCCCAGAACACTGGCGGCTGAGGCAGAAGGATTATCGTGAGTTTGAAGCCAGCTTGGGTTACATAGGAGCTCTAGATCAGCCTGGAATACAGAGTAAGACCCTGGACAAAAAAAAAGGGGGGGGGGCAGTGCCAATTATATGGCAAAGTCAGCCACTTAAATTTCTTGTACCAAGTTAAGTTAAACATCTGATCAAATAATTCAAATAATCAACTCATGGGACAAAGATGGTATATATATTCATAAAAATCAATTCACAGCTCACAAGTGGCAGTGACCTCGTAAAATGGAGGTAGTTTAGTGTATCTGCATTTTATCATAAATGGAAAAGATGGTTCAGTGCTTGGGAACTTCCGGAGCAATGAGATGAAAGCATGGTTATGCAAGAGGGACAATAATTTACTCTCAAAAACCAAAACTCAACTCAGCAACAAAGTTAAGGATTGCAGGTAAGTATATGAGATAAAGTCAACAGGAGCTACAGACAGCTCAGCAGGTAAGAGCACTGGCTGCTCTTCCAGAAGACCTGGGCTCAACTTCCCGGCATCCACATGGTAACTGCCGGCTGTCTGTAACTGCAGTTCCAGGGTGTTCGATGCCTCTTCTGGCCTTTGCACGAAGTAGGCATGAACATGGTGCACAGATATACATATAGACTCTAACAGTGTCTCTGTATGGTATCACACATCTACAGTCTCAGCACTCAGGCCAGAAGCAAGAGGACTAAGAATTCAAGGCAGCATGGGTTCTATAAGTCTGAGGCCAGCCTGGGCCATGCAGCAACATCCTAATGTCTAATACTAATTCATAGACATTTTCAAAGGTGGTGAATAGAAATGAATTGATATGTGCTCTTCCCCTAACAGATATATGGGCATACATCTGAGATTGCACGAAAAAACCTTGAGAATGAACAAAGATGGTTTGGGTAGCTGAAGCGTCCCATTCTAATCTTCAGTGAATAACTGACATTATTTATTATCTGGAGCAGCTGCTTCTCCTCTTCCATAGATGGTGGTTAAGACTCTGAAGCATGGCCTCCAAAGAAAGCTGAGATCACAACAGCTCCTCTTAACTGTTCTTGGGTTTGCCTTCAAGGTACACCACACAGCATAGGGATCAAGATAGTCATCTCATTCAGTCTCTCCAAATTTCAAAAGAAAAATTAAACAAAAATCAATAAACAGAAACTAAAAACAATCTCTGGACCTTGCATCCAGTGTGATCTTAAGCTCTGTAACCACCTGTCCCAATTAGAGGCTACACACCCCAGGAGCCATTATAAAATAGACTGTCACCCCATGCCACAGCAAGGTCACCCAGGGCAGCTCTGGAAAGTAACTTTATAACCTGGTCGTCTGCAGGATGAAACTCCAACACATCTTGTCAAGCCTGGACAATTTAAAATCTGTTATAACTCACAGGGAAAAGTAGCTAATCAGAAAGAGTTTGGTATTTTTCAACGAGTTCAACAGAAAAAAGCATCTAAGGCATTTCTTCTTATTTTATCTAAATGAAAAAAGACAGTTAAATGCTTCAGGGAATAGAAACATCAACAAGTTACAGATAAACATTTTAATTGATTAAATATATTACTTTCAAGATCTTTTGAAATCGCACTTATACGGTACTAATCAACGGCCAAAGGCGATAAAAAAGTTTAGAACCAAACTGTTCGGATATGAACATGTGACAGACACTGCTATGTAAAGTGATATACACTGCTCCCAAGAACAATATTTTTAGAAGATAATTTATCTTAACATGTGCAAGGACAAAATTGTAATCAAAGGCTGAAAGAAATATATATTAGTGCCTGCTTTTTAAAAGTTTATTTTACATTTTAAATACAGTACTTTTTCATTAAAAAAATCCTAACTCTGTGGTTTCTATATATACATAAGAGCTGTGGGGCAGCCTAATGAATATTCTGGATGTAACAGCATAGACATTCGACTACTTCAAATCAAAATTCAAAAACACAGATTAAGCACTGGTTAGGAGAAAACAATCCAGTTTCTTAACAACCAAAAGAGAACAGAATTAAATATCTATGAAACCAGGTATTAAAAACAAACAAATGCAGCATATGAAAACCTCAAATAGCCTGGATGTAGTGAACTGTGCACACTGCAGCTAGCCAACGGATCCGTGGTGTGAAAATTAAACCTAAGGGGTTTTTGTGACAAATGACACAAGGCAGACACTGTCTTTGCCATACCTATCTATACCGCCTTCTCTCTGGGTGCTTAACCACTTTCACAAATTGGAAATAATAATGTGGACTTCTTTTCCTAAGAAAACCAAAGATGTACCTTTCCCCACCAGTAAGATATAACACAGAGTAAAGCTCTAACATTTAAGCACAGGCTATGAACTTTCCATTTTCTCTAGTGTGTAATTCCAAACTGGGATTGTGAAGTTTGTGCCCTAATAATAAATAGAAAAAAATTTGGACTGTCCCTGGCAGTGATTTTCTATTAATGCAATGGTACTCCTCAAATGCTGAATTGCATTAAAGTGATTTTGCATATTTTAATTCAGTAGGTGTCAATTTGAGTTCATAAAACTGGCTGTATGTTTTTTACAGAAAATAACTTCAATTTGAGATGTTTCATAAAGCTGTACCAAAACAAAATTAACTAGTTATGTTACCAGTAGTGTGAATAGCAAATGGAAGAAAAGGCCTGAGAGTCTGAGGGACCTGGTAGAAGGATACTGAGGTGTTTATCTGTCTTTCCATGTCAATCATCTACTGAGTTTGAATGTTCTAAGTTTAAGATTCTCAGAAAATAATTCTCTGTAACATAACTAACTAAACAGCTGTATAGAAAGCAAAAACAACCTGGGTCACTCAGGTAAGACCAAGTGGAGGCCATTTCTTTTCCTACTATAATCTGTGAAGTCTTGAGTTTTAAAGTTTCAAATTGTTGAGCTTCATTCAGTCAAAGCTGATGTAGAGTACAAGAGAAGCAATCCCAACAGAGCTGTAACTGTGGGCTCTGGGAGAACACGCAGAGCTGACAGCAAAGGACTAACCAGCAGCCAGGTCCGGTCGACGCTGGGCCATTTATTATGGAGACTGAATATTTACCACGTAGCTCACACACCTCCAAAATCCACTAGAGGCTCTGTTGGTCAGCACCCAAGGCCTAGATGAGTCTTCAGAGCCGCTTTTAACCTCACAGCATCAATGCTAAAGAGTCTCAGGAAATCCTGGTTCCCAGCAAGAGTTCATAAACCATCGCAACAAGATCAAGAGGGTAAACACCGACTCCAATGTGCCACAAAAGTCAAAAGAAACTAAATGTCATCTTCTGCCCAACCTTAGACTCCAGACTCTGTAACATCTGCTTTATCTAGTATAATAGACTCTGTAGTAGACTGACTTGGACCTCCACAAAGAGTAGGAGTTATCAAACTTGAGGAGATAGACTCCCCTCCCTGGATACTGGTGGCTGCCTGCATACACTTCCTCATGACAGTCCCGCCGGTACACAGGCACAATCTCATCCAGCAGAGGCTTGTTGGCATTCTTTTTAGCTTTCTCTTCAGAAGTAACATTTTCTGTGAGAAAGTGAGAAAAAAACAGACACAAGTCAAACGATAGGTCCAGGAAAACCACCTTACTCATCAAGCAATGAAACTACATTCTCTGAGAAATTGGCTGTTAGGACTTAAGTCAGTCTCCAACTCTGACCTCCACTGTGAACAGCTGCTGGGCTCTGGGAATCCAGGGTAGTGACAACCTGGCCCTTTTGTTACTACTGTTCACATCTCCTAGCCTTACTGTTCCTATTCCATATCCATCCGGTTCTGAACTCCTACTTATATAAAACTAGCTTGCTCATGCAACACCAAAGACAATGCTCTGCTGATTTCTTTCACAATGAGGTCACCTTCATTTCAGAAATGGTGGAGGGAAGCCTAGGCAGACTACTGTTTCTGTATTATCTTAATATAAAACTCTGGTAGAGAAGGGTTCAGAGAGGGGTCTAACACAGAGATGACAGATACAAGGGGATAAAACATCAGCTCTGAGTAGACTGTCACTGCTAATAGTTGTCTGGGCTATAATATCAAATTAGGAAAGAAACACATCTTGTAAGAATGAGATAATTATGCCAAATTGTCTCAGTCTAAAATATTAAATATAAACAACCTCAAGGAAAATAGGTCAAGAGCACGCCAGTACAGAAGACAAAAGACTACTAGGTTATAACACAACAGAGGGAACCCTTGCAGCATCTATTAATAGTCAGATTTTTAAAAGTGTGAGAAATTCTCAAGGGGAATTTAAGGAAAATAGGACCAATCATATTATGTGGCAGGCACCTTGGAATAGATCTTGGAACATTAGGTAAAAAAATAAAAAATCTGAATAAATACAAATTTACCATTATCAATGGTTGAGATAAATACATTGGGGGCTGGAGAGATGGTTTAACTGTTAAGAACATTGGCTGTTCTTCCAGAGGTCTTGAGTTCAATTCCCAGTAACCACATGGTGGCTCACAACCATCTCTAATGAAATCTGGTGCCCTCTTCAAGCATGCAGAAATACATGCTGGCAGAACACTACACACATAACAAATAAATAAATAATAAGTAAAAATAAAATAAAAGCTGGAAAAAAAAAGGGTAGGAGATCCAGACATAGTGACTCAATATCTGTAATTCCAGCACAAGGGAAACTGAGGCAGGCCTGGTTTACAAAGTGAGTTCCAGGAATGGTATATGGGTAGGCAATGTCACGTTCCCTTTGGAACACACAAAGTAGAGCTAAGGTCAAGGATTTCAGCTATCTTTTACCAGTTTGGTTGTTCGATTTTTGAGATAGGATTTCTCTGTGTAGCTTTGGCGCCTTTGCTGGAATTTGCTCTGAAGACCAGACAGGCCTCACCAGTTACTTATCTAACCTTAAAATTTCCTTATATTTCAATTTTTATTTATGTGTGTGCCTTGCTTGTGAGGTATGTGAGGCCAGAAGGCAGTGTCAGAATCCCTGAAACTGGAGCTGTAGGCAGTTCTGAGCCACACCAGTGTTGGGAACTGAACCTGAGCCCTCTGCAAGAGCAGGAAGTGCCTGAGCCATCCATCACTCCAGCCTCTTTAACAGTTATTGTACCAATGTCAATAACTCCCAAACTTATCAGCTAGGGGTTCAGAACAGAAAGTAGGAAGTAATTTTTTTAAAAATCTCTAATGGGCAAAGGGAAAGAACATCAACCACGAAACCCCAGAGCAATATAATTTTCTTCCTTCTTCTTTTTTTAAAACAGATTTATTTATTTTATGCGCACAGACTTTTGACCTGCATGTATACATGTACAGAGTATGCATGCCTGGTGCCCGCAGAGGACAGAAGAAGACACTGGTTCTTCTGGAACTACAGTTATGGGCACTTGTAAACAACCATGTGGATGCTGGGGATCAAGCGTTGGTCCCCTATACAAAAGAGAATGCTGTTAACGCCACCTCTCCAGCCCTTTCTCCTTAGCTTTGTGAGACATAGTCTCTTTTAGCTCAGGCCGAACTGGAATTCACAATATAGCCCAAGCTAGCCTCAAACATATAATGAATGATCTTTCAACCTCAGTCTCTTCAGGGCTGAGATTACAGTGAGAGCAATCACATCTGGCCAGAGCCAAGAAATGACTTTGTCTCTTGTCCATTTTGGTTTCTGCAGTGCTGGGGATCTTGTTTACAGGGAACACAAGCCCTACCACTGAAAATACCCCTCAGCAAGACTCTTATAACGGTCACAAAGCTCTTTCAGAAAAACGCAAACTCTGGTTTTTCTTTTTCTTTCTTTCTTTTTTTTGGGGGGGGTGGGTTTGAGATACGGTTTCTCCATGTAGCCCTGGCTGTCCTGGAATTCACTCTGTAGACCAGCCTGGCCTCCAACTCACTAGATTAAAAAATCTTAACCACTGAGCTTTTTTTCCAGCTCAACAAAAAAGACATTTAATTGAAGGCACTGCTGTGGTAAAGCAAGTTTTATTTGGGTCTCCTTTATGAGTGCTGCATTTTACTTTAATTTTTATTATTTTATTATTATTTTTGTTTCTTTGAAACAGGGTTTCTTTGTTTATCCCTGGTTGTCCTGGAACTAACTCTGTAGACCAGGTTGGTCTCAAACTCACAGAGATCTGTCTGACTCTGTCCCCTGAATGCTGGAATTAAAGGTATGGGCCACTACTGCCCGGCTTAAAAAAAAAAAAAGATTTTTCAAGACAGGGTTTCTCTGTGGCTTTGGAGCCTGTCCTGGAACTAGTTCTTGTAGACTGAACTTACAGAGATCTGCCTCCAGGGTGCTAGTATTAAAGGTGTGCGCCACCAATGCCCAGTTTAAAAAAAAAATCTTAAAAACAACATAATGCCAAGTCAGAGGTGGTGGTGCACATTTTAATCCCAGCACTTGGGAGGCAGATGCAGGTAGATTTCTTTGAGTTTGAGGTCAGCCTGGTTTACATGATGAGTTCTAGAGTAACCAGGGCAATATGGTGACACCTAGCCTTAAAAACAAAAACAAATCAATCAAACAAACAAAACAAAACAAAACAAAAAAGCAAGACAAAGCAGCAAATGTTTTGATATTCACCAGGTCAAACCTGGACCTGTGATATAATTAAGGACTTGAATCTTCTGGGATGACTGTCAGTCTGAAGGAGGTACAGAAATTCCTGGGACACTCTGACGGTTCATACAGAAAATGGTACAGAACAAGACAGACTGACTAGCATAAACTGTTAAACCACGTGATAAATGACTTTCAAGAAATGCTTATGGTCTAACTCCTCTATATGCTCCCTTATGTGACCTCAGTGGTGTCAAAGTATGCAATGTGATTAAGAGCAGTCTATTTTAATTAATTAATTAATCTTTATTTTATGTGCACTGGTGTTTTACCTGCATGTATGTCTGTGTGAATGTGGGATCCCCTGGTACTGGAATTACAGACAGTTGTAAGCTGCTAAGCTTGAACCTTGAACTTGGATCCTCTGAGAGAGAAGTCAGGGCTCTTAACGGCTAAGCCATCTCTCCAGCCCCAAGAATGATCTATTTTTAAAGTCATATGGACTCATGTCCATTCCATGTACTTCCATGAATAGTTTCAAACCAATTTTAATACAACTGTCATGAAACACTACAGTACTCTTAACAAGGACTACTCCCAAGTCACCTGACAGATCAGATAGTCTTCAGAGATGGAATCAAAGAGATCTTCCACTCCCATGGGCTGGGCACTAGAGTCCCTGTGTCTACATCTACATCTGGTCAGCAAGGACATGCTTGTCTTGTATGTCACATGTCCTGGCTTTTCCAGCTAACAAAATTAAGGAGAGCAGCTTTTCAAAGATCAATGCATCGTTTAACTTATTTCCTAAACAAGATGGTCACTAAGGTCTTTCAAAACTCCCAATTCTGTCTACTGAGATGAAACAAGAAGTCACTCTTGTGACAGTGTTTCCAGAGGGAAGAGCAGCTGGTGTGCTTAACGGGGCATTCAGCTGAGTTTTCTTCACTCACACACAACTGTTCTACCCGAGTTTGGGAAGTTCAAGGCCATCCTTGACTACAGAGTAACTAAAAGTCAGCGCTGGCTGTGTGGAACCCTGTCTCACCCCTTCTCAAAACAAACAAAAAAAGGAAACACAGGAGAGGAAAAGCCAGCTGTGGTTGTTCATGCCTATAATCTATCAGCACTTGGGACTAAAATAAACAAAAATGCTATTATCAAAAAGTAAATTCAAATAAATTCCTTTGTTGACAAGAATTCTTATGTGGTCTTTCAAATATTCAAAATGGGGCATGGCGGCACTCCACTGGCAGTTCTAGCTACTGGGAATGCTGAGGCAGAGGACTGTCTGAGACCACCAATTCAAGAACAACTCGGGCAACAAAGCAAGATCCTGTTTTAAACAAAATATACAACAAATCTCAAAGTGATTTCATATATTCAACTTGTCAATGTACAAGGCTGTAAGAAAAACATCACCCAGAAAGTAATAAAATAACATACTGCCAAATAGATTTTTAGCATTTAGAGAAATTCATGCTCAGGGCCTTCTTTTGTGAGAGACTGGTCTTTCAGTGAACATCCTACTACTGAATGGAATATCCCCATCCTGAAGTACTTGGCAGGAAGTATACTCAGTAGCTACTGCGTATGGACAAAGCCCTACCTTCTTCCTCCTCGTCGTCGTCACTGGACTCGCTGACATGCACACTGACGGCAGCATTTGGAGAGTCTGTCCATTCAAAATAAACCCCAAATCCAATGTCATAACTGTCTGTAGCAAATTCCCAGAAGAGGTATGATCCTTCTTCATGAGTGGGGACTCGAACAGTGACCACTTCTCCTCGGCGTACTGTAATCACAGAATCTGCATCCTGCCGAATCTTCTCTTTGAAGTCTTTGATCTGTGGTCTTGTCCACATGGATGGAGCGGCAATCACTGGAAGAGATTCTAAAGGCAACAGGATTTACAAAAGCTGAAGAGAAAATGTTCTTACATCTGCACAGGGCTACCTGTGTTCTGACACCAATGGCACACAACTCAACCAAAGATGGAGGGGAATAGAAAAGTCTCTCAGGTTATTATAGGACCCAACATCTACTCAGAGGTCATCATACCTTATAAGTGATTTTTCCTAACAGTCTACTCTCTCACACCTCGAGACAGGGTTTCTCTGTGTAGCTTTGGAGCCTGTTCTGGAACTTGCTCAGTAGACTAGGCTGGCCTTGAACTCACAGAGATCCACCTGCTTCAGCTGGGATTAAAAGTGTGCGCCACCACTGCCTGGCTTAACATTCTACTTTCATTTCGGTCTATCTGTTGAAAAGTTTTAGTTTCTGAGCATCCTGAGGCTCTAAGGGCATTTCTGAAAAGAGCCTATGAGAAAGAGAAAATCCTGGACAATCTTAGAACCACACGGAAAGGACAAATGTTTTGTTACTGAGCAATACTCATGTGTACTGCAGGACTCAGCAGGCTTTCCAGTTAAGTTAGTCAAATTTACTAACAAAAAGATTCCCTTCCATTTGTAAACACTGGGAGGGCTGGGGATGTAGCTCAATTGAGAGTGCTTGCCTGGTACTCAGAAATCCCCGGGTTCAATCACTAGCACTACATAAACTAGGATCTGGAGTTCAAAGACATCTTCAGCTACATAGTGAGTTTAAGGCCACACTGAGCTGTCTCAAAACAACAGTTGTGGCGCATGCCTTCAATCCCAACACCAACTTTGTGGCAGAGGCAGACAGATCTTTCTGTGTCGCGCCCCACCTCGTCCCGCAAGGATGACGTGTGACACACCGGAGCTCTTCTCACTGCAGTTTTATTCCAGGACTTTATTCACTTTCTCTCTTTCTCCTTTTTCTTCTCTCTCTCTCTCTCTCTCTCTCTCTCTCTCCCTCTCCCTCCTTTTCCCTCTCCGGGCAAACCTCTCCCAGCCCTTAAGCAGGCATGGGCTGCCAACCCTGGATTGCCAGGTGGGCACTGCCTATAGGTTCACGCATATGCAAGCAGCTGATAATCACTGCGTGATCATAGCATAGGTCAGGCCTTAGCCATCTCAGGAGTTGATTATACATCTCCATCAGGTGTGATTCCACACAGCTCGCTACATTTCTGAGCTGGAGGCCAGTCAGGGCTACATAGTGAGCCTGTCTCAAAAACCAAACCAAACCAAAGTCCAATGAGATGCTTGAGCAGGTGAAGACACTTTGCCACCAAGCTTGGTAACTTGAGGTTATTCGTCAGACTCCACATGGCAGAGAGAGAGAACAAGTTTCTAAGTTCTCTTCTGACCTCATGGTATACACATACATATACAGAATAAACCAAGGTGAAACAAACGCTTGGTAAGACCAAAGAAGGTCTTTCCTGAAGCTGTTTCTCTGTTACTTGTTCTAAAAGGTCAAGGAAGAGCAGAATGGGTTTCAGAAATCTTCCTTGTCTAACTATGCTTATACCCAGCATGGCACTCAGAGGCTGAAGTGAAAAAAAAACAAACCAAAACAAAACATTTGAATCTCCCCCACCATCACCTGCTTAAAATTTTTTAAAAAGTTTTTTTTTGTTTTTATTTTTTTAAATTTATTTTTACTTAAAAATTTCCACCTCCTCCCCTCCTCTCATTTTCCTCTCCCTCCCACTTGCTTAAAATTAAAATCAGAAAAAATTATACTTCAAGGAAACGAATGGTCACAGAATATTCACAAAAATAGAAGCTGTAACTGGTGAATTTGGCAGATGTTCACAGCAACAGATCTCTGCTAGGACAACAGGTAGCTTTAGGTGGAGCTTCAAACTGAACCCAGGGCTTTGTGAGTGTTAAGCAATGAACATCTATCCCAAGCCCTGATCTTCTGTCTATGTCAACAGGAGCATCAGATTCAGATTCAAGAGTAAAGGTGTGTTGGATTCTCATACACATGTAAGTGCTCTCAAGAGCTAGTCAGCCTGTCTTCCTGATTTTTGCTCTTCATGAGGTCTAGGGAATGACATTTGGACGGACAAACACATGTGCTAAACTATACCTTTTGGTCCATTTTCCAAGGCTTCTTCTGCCACTTCTGGCTCAGTTTCTTTCTCGGAACTGACAGTGTGGGTTTTGGCCTGCCCATTAACTGACATCATATCACCTGCTCCAGCTGCATTCACTTTTGATGATGCAGGCAATGAAGCCCCAGCCACTGCTACTTCCTGTTGCTTCTGTAATGCTGCCTAAAATTGAGAAAAAATTAAAACACTCTCATCAGAAAGGCTAACATTTGCCTAGACATGAAGTCTGATGTCATACATTTGCTCTACACTAAAGCATTCTAAGAAATTACTAATCAACTTTTGCCAGTTTTTTAATCATATCTATAATAAATATTAGTATAATACCAACTGATATCTAAACATGATTAAACTATCAATCTCAAATAAAATTACTAAAGGCAGCCGGGTGGTGGTGGCGCATGCCTTTAATCCCAGCACTTGGAAGGCAGAGGCAGGAGGATAGCTGTGAGTTCGAGGCCAGCCTGGTCTACAAGAGCTAGTTCCAGGACAGGCTCCAAAGCTACAGAGAAACCCTGTCTCGAAAAACAAAAAACAAAACAAAACAAAATTACTAAAGGCAAAATTAAGTATAGTAACATGCCACTGCCTCCTGAGTGTTGAGATTAAGGGCATATGCCACCATGCCTAACAGTGCTATATACGTGTATGTATATCTGTGTGTGTGTGTGTGTGTGTGTATTTTTTTTTCTTAAAATTGAGTAGAAGAAAATGTTTCTCTCTCTCCCTTCCTTGGATTTATTTATTTATTATATATACAGTGTTCTGCCTACATGTATGCCTGCATGCCAGAAGAGGGCACCAGATCTCATTATAGATGGTTGTGTGCTACCATGTGGTTGCTGGGAATTGAACTTAGGACCTCTGGAAGAGCAGTCAGTGCTCTTAACTGCTGAGCCATCTCTCTAATCCCCCCCCCCTTTCTTTTTAAAATAAAATTCAACTATACACAGGGCATAATGGCATATGTCATTAACCCCTGCACTCAGGTAGATCTCTGTGAGTTTGAGGCGAGCCTAGTCTACACAGTGAATGCCAGGCCAACCAGGGCTACACACTGAAACCTGTCTTTCAAACTACAAAATTGGGCATGCTAAGAATGCTTATACCCAGCACAGCACTCAGAGGCTGAAGTGGCAAACAACAATAGCAGCAGCAACAACAACAAACCAACCACTTGAACCGCCCCATCCTCACCTTCAACTACTGAAAATTAAAATTAGAAAAATCATACTTCAAAGAAACAAACGACCACAGAAGATTCACTGACACAGAAGCTGTGTAATTGCCGAACATGACAGCTGTCTACAGTAACAAACTAAACCCTCATATATGGACAACTATTCTAATATGGATGGAAATAAATACTCACAAAAGAGCATGAACACAAATTTAATTTTTTTTAAAATTTAGATTTTAGGGTGTTAAGAGACCAAACCCAGTACTATTAGCCTCAGCAGGTGCTCATCCACTGAATCATACCCTCAGGCTCTAACTAAAATTTAATAAAACTGTCAATCACACTGCAAAAACACTGGTCTAAAATAATGAAGGGAGCCATGTGGTGGTGGCGCAAGCCTTTAATCCCAGCACTCGGGAGGCAGAGGCAGGCGGATCTCTGTGAGTTCGAGGCCAGCCTGGTCTACACAAGCTAGTTCCAGGACAGGCTCCAAAACTACAGAGAAGCCCTGTCTCGAGAAAAGAAAAAAAGAAAAAAAAAAGAAAAAAGAAAAAAGAAGGGTAAGAAGGGTTTAGAGGTCAAAGTATTTCCTCACTTAATATTTTATAGTAGCCTGGGTACAGTGGTACATGCTACAATCCCAGCACATAGGAGAATGAAGCCTCCTTGAGCTTGAAGCCAGATTGATCTATATCTCAATGCAGGGAAAGAGAAAGTACAAAGAAAGGAAATTTGCTATGCCATGGCATGGGTCATTAACTCTAGATACTCAGAACGCTGAGGCAGGAAGACTGCAAGTTCAGGAACAGGCTGAGATACTGAATGAGGTCTATGCCTACCACGGCACCTTAGTGAGACCCTGTCTTAAAGTATAAAAAGGCTGAGAATATAGATCTCCGTGGTACAGCACTTGCCTAGCACCCAGCTTTTTAAACTGTGTTACAAACCCATACTGGGGCCACATAACTGAATGTGGGAAGTCGCAAAAATCTGGCAAGAGTACAAGGTTTCCGAATGCACAAGGACTACAAATTCATTCCAAATCAAAGTATAATAAATCCAAGGTGTTTCTGACAGTGCTCAACTCCTCTGCATCAAGGCAACTTCCACACAACATTGGTTCTGAATACACAACACATACACTCTTGCCCATGGCTGCCTTGACACACAATACCAATGAATGCTGCCTCATACACCTTGGCTCAAGTCCAAGATTATTTTATGCTATAAATTGCAGTGTTCTTATTGCACAGAGTTTTCTGTACTTAAATACAATGGCTTATTTATGGAGAACAAAGACACACTACTTCACTGTGGTCACTCCTCAGCATACAGACTATCAAGCTAGTATGTATTCGATTATAAGAGCTGGAGAGACAGTTCAGCGGCTAACAGCACTGACTACTCTTAAAAAAGACCTAGGTTCAGTTCCCAGAATCACATAGGGCTCGCAAGCATCCACAACTTGAGTTTCAGGGTTCTGATGACCTCTTCTGGCCTATGCAGGAAGCAGGCACATATATATGCATAGACATACATTCAGGTAAAACACCCATACACATAAATAAATCTTCCAGAAAAAAATTGTTTACTGAGGGCTGGAAAACTGACTCACCATACAAGTTAGTTTTGTCAATAATCTAGAATCTGCTAGGAAGAAAGTCTCAACAAAACACTCTTTATATTGGATTGGGCTGTGGGAATGTCTGTGAGAAGCTGTCTTTATTTCATCAGTTGATGTGACCCAGCCCACTGTGGGCAGCACTACTCCTGAGGCAGGGGATCCTGAACGGTGTGAGTTAAAAAACCCAGAGGAAAGCAATAACTTATTATTTTTTTAAGATTAATTATTATTTTATATATATGGTGCTCTATCTGCATGTACACTTGCATGCCAGAAGAGGGCATCAGATCTCATTATAGATGGTTGTAAGCCACCATGTGGTTGTTGGGAACTGAATTCAGGACCACTGGAAGAGCTTCCAATGCTCTTAACTGCTGAGCCACCTCTCCAGCCCTGAAAGCAATAACGATGTACTCACTGTTCCCTCTCTTGACTGTGGAGGTGACATGCCCAGCTGCCTCCAGCTCCTGCCGCTGTGATTTTCCCAAAGGGAACTGTGAGCTAAACAAGCCCCTGTTTTATCGCAGCAACAGAAATGAATCTAGGGTAACAAATAAGGGCGTTTGCTACCAAACTGGCTGACCTAAGTCTGAACTCTGGAACCTACATGATGGAAGGAGAAAACTGGCTCCAGCAGGTTCTTCTCTGATATCTATATGCATACTATGGCAAGCGTAACCTTCTCCTTTATATACACATAAAATAAATAACATTTTTTAAATGTCCTGAAACAGAATGGAGAGTTAGTTGGGCACATGCCTTTAGTCCCAGTATTCAGGAAGCAAAGTAGGAGGATCTCTGAGTTCCAGGCCAGCCTGGTTTACAGACTGAGTTCCAGGAGATCTAGGGTTACACAGAGAAACACTATCTCAAAACCAAACCAAAACAAACAAACAAAACACCCTAATAAGTAAATTGTGTCTTAAAAAAAGATTTATTTCGTTTTTAACTGTATATAGTTAGGTGGGTATGCACATGTAGTCTGGATGCCTGCAGAGGTCCAACTGGATCTCCTGAATCTGGAGTTATAGGCAGTTTGTGAGCCACCTGATCTAGGGGTTGGAAACTACAAAATCAGTACATGCTCTTATCCAGTGAGCCATTTCTCTAACCTGCTACTAACTTTTTGAGGAACTTAAAAGTGCATCATAATATACACGCAGAAAGATGTAAAACACAGTGACTACTAGCATGCACACAATCCTGTACTCACTCCCCACCACAAGTGTGGTCATCTAAGCCTGTAATCCCAAAACTCTAAGAGGTGGGGGGAAGAAGATAAGATGTTCAATGTCAGTCTTGGCTGCACAGTAAATTTGCGGCAAGCCTAGACTACAGGAGACCCAATTTCAAATAGAAGTGTGCAAATCATAAATTATATTTTCATATAATATAACTTATCAACTTTCATATATCAAATATATCCATTCAACCATCATCCAAAATGAGAAATTATTTATACCAAGGTATTTATACCTCTCTAGTTCCTTCCCCTAGACACCTTCTCCAACAGTATTTTCAGACTTTATAACTATAGATATGCTTTGCCTACTTTAAACCACACACACACACACCCCTCATTATATAATTTGTGCTTTATGAAAAAGTCTACCTTTTCCTTAAAGAAAAAAAAAAGTTGGGCGATGGTAGCATAGGCCCTTGATCTCAGTACTCAGGAGACAGAGGCAGGTGTATCTCTGCAAGTTCGAGGCCAGCCTGGTTTACAGAGCTAGTTCCAGGACAGTCAGGGATACACAGAAAAACCCTATCTCAAAAACAAAACAAAACTTTCCCTAAAATAAATGTATTTATTTTTATTAAAAAGACAGGGTCACACTATGCAACCTTGGCTAGCCTGAAACTCAAGAGAAAGATCCACCTACCTCTGCCTCTTGAGTGCTGGGTTTAAAGCCACACATGTCTGGCCCCCTCAATGCTAATTTTGTAAGGCCTATCTATAAGGGGCACAAATAAGAGTATTTGTTTTTAATGCTATGGGATACTGCACTGTGAAAATATGAAATTTACCCCTACAACTACTCGCTGGCATTTGGGGATGTGTGGGGAGAACTCCTGAATGACTGGTGCTGACTTTGCTGTGTATGATAAATGCACTGAATTCCACGCAGCTGCTGGAGTGCCTCCATCTGAGAGCACAGCACTCAATCCCAGCTTCTCTTCTTCACTCCCACAGCCCTCGTCAGGTCAAGGACAAAGCAGGTGACAGCATAAGTCACCTTTGTAAACACTTAGCCTCTGCCAGAAGGCCAAGGATTGATGCTACTCTTTTAACAAAAATATTAAATCATACATTTACAGGATTATCAAGAGAGACATGTATGTTGACCTATCTATGCAGGTAATTCATATAAGAAATCATTTCTAAGGAAAAACACCTCTCTCTGCTGCTATATAAAACACGGTATTTCTTTTGTGTGTTTGGTTTTCAAGAAAGAGATTCTCTGTGTTTCCTTGGCTGTCTTGGAATTACCTCTTTTTTTTTTTTTTAAATATTTATTTATTTATTATGTATACAATATTCTGTCTGTGTGTATGTCTGCAGGCCAGAAGAGGTCACCAGACCTCATTCCAGATGGTTGTGAGCCACCATGTGGTTGCCGGGAACTGAACTCAGGACCTTTGGAAGAGCAGGCAATGCTCTTAACCACTGAGCCATCTCTCCAGCCCCCTGGAATTACCTCTTGTAGACCAGGCTAGCCTCAAACTCACAAAGATCCACCTGCCTCTGTCTTCTAAGTGCTAAAATAAAAGATATATGACACCATCACCCAGTCAAAACACAACATATTAAAATATACTCTAAGGCTTAGACTCTAAATCACTTCTAAGGTTAGTTTAAAAAAAAAAAAGCACCAGCTATCACAAATAAATACAATCAAAACAAGTCAGTACATTCAAAACATTACATGATGGTAGAAGGCATTCTTGAAACTCTGCAGTAAAATCAATAAACTTCCTTTTCTGGATTCTACTGCCCAGGACTCTTATCTAATACACAGAGTAGGCTGCAATTATTTACATGGCGCGCACTCTCTCTCTCTCCTCCCTCTCTAAACACTTTGGGAGAAGTTTTAAAAAGCTCAGGAAGATTTGGGTTGGCAGTGCATGCTTTGTAACCCCAGCACTGGGAGGTAGTGTGTGTCTCAGCCTCAGCCACACAAGACCCTGCCTTAAGAACAAAAGCAGAAAGGTGCAGAACAGACACTGGCACAGCAGTTCATCAAAGTTCATACTTTAGCAGTAAAATTCTTTCTTCCTCCCTTTTATGTAAAATTCATTGGTAACTGTTAAAAGAAAAAGAAAAAAAAGAACTTACGTGGCTATGAAGCTGTAAGGCTGAGTTCTCAGGTAGCTCATTGTACCCATCTATTCCCAGAAGCAACCAATTAGAGTTTGATCATACTAATTCTGAGATTCTAATTCCATCACTCCATTTCTTGGATTTATCCTACCAGAATGACTTCCTCCACATAAAGTGATAGTGGCCTATGACCAGGACAGTATGTAACAGCAAAGTTATTATTTCACTGCCTATTAAGTGAAAAAAAAGGGGGGGGGAGTGAGGAGGGTAAAATACTAAAGTAGAAACAGGCCATAGAAGAGGCAGAAGCATCTCTCAAAAATGCTTATTAAACTATGGTTTAGTATCTTTCTGATGCTCTCATGGGTTATATACAATCTTTAGGGCCTTTTAATATCTCACTGATTTCTAAAAATAGGGGAGAAGGGTTATTTCATTTAAAAATGTTTTACCTTCCTAAAAAATATTTATTATTATATAATGAATAACATGTGCATGCTGATTTTGTCTGTCAAAAACTATCATGGCCCAATATGGTAAGCATTTATAAATCAATTAATTTATCTTTCTACTCCCCCTGGTACTCCCCTCCATCTCTCTCCCTTTTCCACTTGGAAATAGGGTCCTTCTAAAGTTGCCCAGATAAGTCTGAACTCTCAGTCACCCGGGTAGCTGGTATTACAGGTTTGTACCACCAGACCTAGCTATTCTCTTTCTTTTATAATCCCATGAGATCAGGAACTTTGCTCTTGTGTCTTATTTTCACAGAACTTGAGAACAAGCAGGAAATCAGAGCAATAGTAACATGTCAGAAAATCCAATGATAATGGCAGAGTCAGGACAGAATCCAAGTACCCTGTCTTTCACTTAAACTGCCTTCTATATGGTTGTGAGCCGAGCCTTTAACAGCTGAGCCACCTCTCCAGCCCAAGCTTTCTAAATGTTGAAGCGATATTTAGGAATGGAACGCTGGAGAAGGAATATATGCTGTCATGAGTTATAATGGATCTGGCCCAGTTTTGAGGAACTAGCCTATGGGCTTATGGGAGGGAAGTAAACCCCTCAAAGCTGTCTGACCTTGACACTGCATGTTCTGCCTGAAGGATGTTCTTACAATAAGGCTAGCTACCCAGGCCTTCACAGTTTCAGGGGCACTACTTCAGTCCATACCAGACTCATTGTTATGACACTAGACCTAGACAACTCCCATACAACAATATAAACATAAACATAACAATATAAAAGTACATCCTCGGAGGTTCAAGAGCCTGTATTTTCTCTTGTAACTGTCAGTATAATGCTAAATAGACTGCCTAAAAGATAAACTGAATAGTTACTTTATACCTTAGAGGCTAGCTAATGCAAAATTCATTTGCAACTGATAGGAAAGAAACTGGGTTCCATGGAAACATAACACCTTCTCTAAAGCTGCTGTCATACCTGTTGCTGTGCAAGCTGAACTTGATACAACTGTTGCATGTACTGCTGATAGTGCTGCTCCTGCAGCTGGCGGATGAGAATCTGCTGCTGCTCGTAGTTCCCTGGATACTGCTGGGCTGCATACTGCTGGAATTGCACGGCAGTCTGCGAGTTTAAAGCTGCCATTATCTGCTGCCTAAAAACATTAATAAATACATGCCAGTCTGACAACAGGAGACTGTTCATAACGAAATAAAATGACCTGCTCATTCTTATAGTTTATAACTTAGAAAAAGACTTAACTAATAACGTTTAACAAATAGCATGTGCTCCAGGCACAGAATATTCAAGGAAAAAACTGACCTCTAACTTTTGGGTTTTTCAAGAAAAGTTGGAATGGAGAATAAATACCAAGCACATCACCACCATCAACAGCATCATTAGTTATTAACACTTACTGTGCTCTTTTGATGTGATCCGCAATGTTCAAAGCATTTACACATAGTCTTTGATGACACTAAGAGGTTGTTTGGCAATTGCCCAAGACTCAGCTGCAGCTAGATTCAAGAGCCAGGACTCAAATCTAGCTAGTCTTGCTCCAGAGACTGCACCAATTCACCCTGATGCTGTAACATGACGGACTGCCATTAGGGCACGGATGGGTGTTTGACTCTGGCTACGGTTTCCCTACCTCAACTGCCCAGAGCAGCACAAGGTAGGAGGACAGCTAATCGATGCTATAGACTCTGTTTAAGGATGACAAGCCAACAGTCTGCAGCATCTGACCTAAAGGTGTCTTTATTGAGACGCATTGAAGATAGTAACAGCAGGGCATGCTGCTTGGCTTAGTGATCTTTCTCTTCCTCCCCCTCTCTCTCCATGGGGTCATATTATATAGAGCCCGGGCTGACTTCCCTCAGCCTCTGAAGTGCTGGGATCACAGTTGAACAGTGCTGCACCTTGTCTGGACATATCAATTTCTACTAAATTATTACAACTGTCTTTACTCTCTTCAGAGAAAACTACATGTTTCAAAACTGTTATGTGACCACTTACCAAAGATCTCAAATCTATTTACGAAGTAAGCAGGTAAATAAAGCAAAAACTTCAGATACTGACTAAAGTATTGCACTGGGTCCACCTAAGGTATTCAATTCCAAATCCAAGAGAATGGCATTAAAACTTCGTTCCAAAGTAGAATGAGGCCATAGTTCACTCTGAAGCTAGCTACCATTGAAGGTTTTTCTGAGAAGCTAGCTGGAAACAATGAAGAGAACTCAATGTACCTCAAGATTTCTGGCTTAACTTTTCTGTATCCCTGGATCCGTAGGTCCTCTCTCCTGCATTTGTTTACCTCTCTGTATCTACAGCTGCCCTTTGAAAAGCCAGGCTTTTCTAAGACAGCTGCTTTCAGCCTTTACTGAATAAAGCAGTTTCAGCTCCCATGTCCTGTACAGGGACTGGGAATAGCTATCTGATATACATGGATTAACTAGGCTCTAAGTCCTCAGAATTTTTAACTGGGCTTCAGATTCTAGCCAGCCTCTCAGATACACACACACACCAAAAAAAAAAAAAAGACGAAATTCCCAGGTAAAACAGCCTTGTAAAAACAAAGAACAGAAACTGCAGAAAGCAGTGAGAACGAAGAGACAGACTAAGAAGACAAGAGACTATGAAAACTTCAAGACCCTGGACTCAAGACAGAGCAGCTGAACAATCTCAATTGCTGCTTCTAGTCTCTAGGTTTTACAAGCTAACCCCAAATTTCTTCAATACATTATTTTTTGATAAAAAACAAAAGTCACAGCCAGGCGGTGGAGGCACATGCCTTTAATCCCAGCACTCAGGAGGCAGAGGCAGGTGGATCTCTGTGAGTTGGAGGCCAGCCTGGTCTACAGATCATCCAGGACAGGCTCCAAAGCTACAAGGAGAAACCCTGTCTCGAAAAATCAAAACCAAACAAACAAAAAACAAGAATCACTGTTAAAAATGAAAAGGAGCTAACACGAGTCTACCTCCCAGGCACATAGTCACAAGAACATTCTAAAACACACAACTCACTTTTGCTGTTCCAGTCGAAGCCTTTCTTCTTCTATTCGCCTCCTCTCCTCTTCCTCCCGTCTAAGCCTTTCCTCCTCTTCTCGCTTCCGTCTCTCTTCTTCCTTTTGCAGACGCTCTCGTTCTTCCTCTTCACGCTGCCTTCGCTCCTCCTCCGCCTTTCTACAAGGTACATAACAAAGAGAATTAACTCTGCACAGTGAATCTTATATTTAAATAATTTAAACTTCACTTCCCAGTGAAAAATAAGACAAAAATCTGTTCAGAGAATAGCAATCTATCAAAAATTCAAACACATAAACTTCCATATAATAGAAACTTAAAATGAAATCAATCTCACAACATACATGACTACATCAAGGATAATTATTAGCTGGGTGCTTTCATAGTCTTTAATAACAAAACAAAAGCAAGAAACAAAAACGCAACTTTGAAAGGTGTTACATATAATTCAACAATGTACTAAAATACATAAATCAACTTTCCATGCTATTTCATTTTTATTAAGTATCAAGTCTTAGCCTGGCACGGTGATTTTCAGCACTGCAGAGGCAGAGGAAGGAGTTCTAAGCTAACCAGAAATACACAGTGAAACCTTCTCTTTAAAAAGGAATTGGGTTCCCAGCTCTTGGGAAGCAGAGGCAGGCGGATCTCAGTGAGTTCAAGGCCAGCCTGGTCTACAGAGCAAGTTCCAGGATAGGCTCCAAAGCTACAGAGAAACCCTGTGTAGAAAAACAAACAAAGCAAAAACAAGCAACAACAACAACAATAAAAAAGGGACTGGACCATGGTGCGTTTAATCCCAGATTTGGGAGGCAGAGAAAGGCAATCTCTGAGTTTGAGCCCACTCTGGTCTACAGAGTGAGTTCTAGGACAACCAGAGCTACACACAATTTAGAAACCCTGCTTTGAAAAAAAAGAAAAAGAAAAAAAAAACAATAAAAAAAGAAAAAAACAAACAATAAAAAGTGATGAGGCGGGGGCTGGAGAGATGGCTCAGTGGTTAAGAGCACTGACTGCTCTTCCAGAGAACCCTGGTTCGATTCCCAGCACCCACATGGCAGCTCACAACTGTCTGTAATTCCAGTTCCAGGAGACCCGACACCCATGGCAAAACACCTATGTACATAAACCAAAAATAAATAATACAAAATTAAAAAAGTGATGAGGTGGGGCAGGGAGGGCTAGAGAGATGGCTCAGCAGCTGAGCTTGTTAAAAAGCTTACTGTAGTAAAACAAAGGTAGCCAGGGGTGGTAGTACACATGTGTAATCCCAGCACTCAGCAAGACTTTGCCTGCCTCAAAGGAAAACAGAAGATGCTGCTGTAGATGGGAGGCTCACTTTAAGGGCACAACCAGAAGGAAGCAACCCTGCTTCCTTCAAACTTATAGGAAAATCTGCTCCTACCAGGAGTGCTGAAAAACTGCCAAAAGAAGTGGAAGTGAGGACCTAGAACAAAGCAAAAGCATCAGTGCAAGTCCCACTACCACGCCCTATAACATCACCTTCTTTTCTCTTCTTCCTCCTTCTCTATCCTGTGGGAAGCAACATAGGCCGAAAAGAGAGGACAACACCTATTTAGAAGCTTCACAAACTCTACCATGGCGTCCTCCTTGGACGTGTTCCCCAGGGCTGCCCATTCTCTCCTGCAAAGAATAAAAGAAACAGTTACCTTCCTTTAGCAAAATGAGAATCTTACTCAATTAAACCTATATGAAAAATACTCGACTACAATTAAAATGAAATATGCTTTTACTAGAATCAGAAAGTTCAGAATGTCAAGTTTCAACAAACCTATACTGATATATTAAATAAGATGCCAAAACAATCCAAAATATAAATGTACTTTGATTATTCACACTTGTTAAAAAGCAATCCATATTTTATTTTCTTTACATATTTTAGCTTGAATCAAAATTACTCTGTTTTAGCCGGGCGGTGGTGGTGCTTTAATCCCAGCACTCGGGAGGCAGAGACAGGTGGATCTCTCTGTGAGTTCGAGGCCAGCATGGTCTACAAGAGCTGGTTCCAGGACAGGAACCAAAAAGCTACAGAGAAACCCTGTCTCGAAAAATTTAAATAAATAAATAAATAAATAAATAAAATTACTCTGTTTTTTGGCACAATTTATGTATGTCTAGATAAGAGAATCATAGTATGTGCTCTTGGAGGATGAAAGAGGGCATCAGATACCCAGAAACTGGAATTATAAATGGTTTTAATTTTTTTTTTCTTGTTTTTTCAAGACAGGGTGTCTCTGTATAACAGTCCTGGCTGTCCTGGAACTCGTTCTGTAGACCAGGTTGGCCTTGAACTCACAGAGATGCACCTGCCTCTGCCTCCCAAGTGCCAGGATTAAAAGTGTGTACCACCACCATCCGGCGATGGTTTGATTCTTAACAGCTGATTAACAGCTAAGCCATCTCTCCAGACCCAGTAGTACGTTTTTAAAATTGCTGTTTTTAATATTATTTAGGAAGTGTTAGATAAAACTGTACTTGTATTATGTTCATAACCAGGTAAGTAAACTTCTTTCACTATGAGCAAAATGAATGTTTCAGTTGCAATGCTAAGCTAACTATTACACCTTAAGCAATTCACATTATACCTCTAACATCATTATTAAATTTATTAAGTAAGAAAACACTTGTTACCTCCTATCATTCCCCAACACATCAAAGAATCCAACCTCAGGGCAAGTGTCTGGGTTATATGGGCCCAAGAGAACCTGCTTGTGCAGTGCCACAAACTTCAGTTTTTCTTCATAAGTTGGATGAAAAGCCTTGCCATCTTTTACTGAAAGAGAACAAATGAAAAAAAAATAATTGGTACTGTCAAAATACACAATTTTCAGCACTGGAAAGACACTGGTTTGTTTGCTACAGTCAATAACTGCCTATAACAGGCAAAAGCAGTATATAAAGACTTATTTTTTACTGAATTTTAATAGTCAGAGCCTAAAACAGAAATCCTTTATAGAATATTTTCTCTTCTTCCTCCCCTCTTCATTTTTTTCCTTTTATTTTTTTCTCTTAAGTCAGGGTGGTTTCTAGTTCTTTATGGTGCGCATGCAGGCCTCAACTCAGTCCTCCTGATTCAGCCCCTAAATACTGGGATTGCGGGCATGTGCCACAACCAGTCTGACTTATTTCTTTGTTGAACAACTATCATTATTTATACTAAAGTTACCATAGAGAAACTCATCTGTCAAACTGCTTACAGGCATGTAGACAGTATCATTAGAACATTTAGCCATACATTAAAAAATATACAATGATAATTTTTAAATGTTCCCCCAAGACAGGGTTTTTCTGTGTAACCTTTGCTGTCCTGGAACTCACTCTGAGTGCTGAGACTTAAGGCATGCACCACCACCTGGTTCAAAAGCTTATTTTTATTGCTGTTTCTTTGTTTGTGAAACAGGGACTCATCATGTAGCACTGGCTGGCCTGGACTCACTATGCAGAACCAGGGTGGCTAGATACTCAGAGATATGTTTGCTTCTGCCACCCAGTTAAAAATGATTTTTAAAAATTGATTAAAAACAAAACTCATTTTAATCACTTTGAATAGGATCATGCATTAACAAATTGTATATACTTTAGAAGGGTATGTTTAAAGTATAACCACTCTAATGAGGTGGTATGTTTTGGCAGGGGCTTTGGAATCAGATGGTCTGGGTTTAAATCTCAGACATTTCTAAACCATTGGATGAATTACTTTCTTAGTTATCAATAAAATGAATTTCAGAAGTTAATAGTACATTATTATTAATACCAATTGTGTGATTCTTTTTCCTTATCATTGGCTCTGGTAGGCTTCCATATAAGCAAATAAGAAAGACAGCCAGATGTGGTGGTTCATGTCTTTAATCCCAACACTTGGGAGGCAGAAGTAGGTGGATCCAGTTTGAGGCCAGCCCGGTCTACAAAGTTCCAGGAGAGTCACGACTACACAGAGAAACCCTACCCAAAACACCTGCAGAGTCCATATCAAGATGACATAAACTTAAAAAACAAAACAAAAAAACCAGGCTGGTGCAATGGTGCAGAGGATAATTTTAGGCCCCACCACCAGGCCTGATGACCCAAGTTTAATCCTTGCAAGTTGTCCCCACTTGATGTAAGTCACTCTCTCCCAAGAGTTTCCTCTCATCACTGACTCTGGAAGATGAGCCTCAAACAGGGCAATATGGAGGACTCATCTGACCTGTGCAGAGAACAGAGGCCCCTTTCTTTCTCACTACAGGTACCACATATTTCCCCAAAGCAGTTCAAGGTCAAAGCTTTTCTTCCACAGCTAAGTCACATTGTTGACTTACTAAAAATATACTGAACAAAGCCTGTCAGGATGATCAGAACTAAAACTGTATCTCCAGTCAGGTATGGAGCACGCCTTTAACCCCAGAACGCAGGAGGCAGAAGCAGGAGGATCTCTTTGTGTTCAGGCAAGCCTAAACTACACAGTAAGTTTCAGGACAGCCCCCCCCCCACCTCCAACAAAAGCCAGGCGGCAGTGGCACACGCCTTTAATCCCAGCACTGGGGAGACAGAGACAGGCAGATCTCTGTGAGTTCGAGGCCAGCCTGGTCTACAAGAGCTGTTCCAGGACAGGCTCCAAAGCTACAGAGAAATCCTGTCTCAAAAAATCCAAATATATATATAATTCTCTGCTCATATGTAATACTGTCCATACTGGGCATAATCAACAGCAATGTTAGTGTAACCCTGGCTACAGAGTAAGACTCCATCTCCAAAATAAAACAAATTTTAGTAGGGTATGGCAGCACATGCCTTTAATTCTAGAGCTTGGAAGGCAAAAGCAGGCAGATTTCTGTGTTTGAGGCCAATCTGGCTTACATAGGGAGTTCCAAGACAGTCAGAGCTACCTAGAGAGACCCTGTCTTTAAAAAAACAAAACAAAACAAAAATTGTTTTTAACATATGTTTATTTATGGGGGTTGAGGGGTTGTCAGAGGAAAACCTGTGGGAGCTGTTTCCTTTCTTCTATGGTGTGTTCTGTGTAGAGAAACAGAACTCTGGCAGCAGCACCTTCATCCGCTGAACCATCTTACCTGCCTTTCATTCAAAATTTCAATCCAACAGAGATGCAATGCAAAAATTCAGAAGAGTTCTCATACTTATTTTTTCAATTACAAACATTTATAATTTTGCCAGGTGTAGCACTGGAAAGGAAGAGACAGGTGGATCTCTATGAATTGAGGTCACTATATATCAAGTTCCAGAACAGTTAGAGCTACATAACAGAGATCTTATCTCAAAAATAAATAAATAAATAAAAATAAAGACGTACTGTGTATTAGTGTTTGCCTGTATGTATGTAGCACATTTGTGCCTTACAGCCAACAAAGGTCGAAAGGGTACTATCCCCTGGAACTGGAGTTAGATGATTGGGAATCACTATGAAGTTGCTGGGAACCAAACCCAGGTCCTCTGCAAGAGCAACAAGTGCTCTTAACTTCTAAGCCATCTGTCCAGCGCCACTCACACTTACCTCTTTTAATACATTTAAAACTTTCCTTAAGGGGATAATGCTTTAAAAGCAAACTTGGGGGCTGGAGAAATGGCTCAGGCTGTTCTTCCAGAGGACTCAAGTTTGGTTCTCAGCATCCACGTGGCAGCTCACAACCAGCTGCACCTCCAGTTCCAGGGGATCTGCTGCCTTCATCTGACCTCTGCAGGTACCAGGCACCAAGTGGTAGGCACACATACATACAGACATATAAATAAAATAAATCTAAAATAAACAAAACCAACGTGGATCTTTCCACTAGTTCTTAATATTTTCATGCCAAAAACTATTCAAGGGACAAAGTAACTAGACAGTCCTTTTGAATCACTTTCCCCTGTGTATTTTAACAGAAAGCAGACTCCTATCTATTAATCTTGCTAAAATAGAATTAAGAACAATTTGCTCTTTAAAAAAAAAAAAAAAGCAAAAACAAAAAACTTCACTGGTTCTTCACCTAACAGAAAGGCTAAACTGTGTACAACTTCATCGTATCCTTCCAGGATCTAATTTCAAATTTCTTCTCTCCCCATCAAACTATCTCCTGTCATGTTCCAAACACACAAGCCAGCCATCCCTCTCCCCTGTCCCCTCTGCTTCCTCCACCTGTGCTGCAGTTATCAACCAGCTCCTTAAGTCTCCTGAAGGGCAAAGAAGTCTGCACCATCCACACAGCAGTAATTCTAACAGTAAATCTTATCCATAAGGGCACAGAAATCCCTGGTGGTTAGACAGCAAAACGTTAATCTACAGAACATCATAAGGGACATTTTCATCTATATGTACACACCCCATGCCCGGGGACAGAACTCAGGGTCTTACTATGTATGCTATGTTACAGATACTGAACAGCACTTATCACTGCTACACCCCCAGCCTACATCATTTCACTTTCACTTCATCAAAAAATTAAGAGAGGTGGGTGTAGTAGGAGGCTGGAGAGACGGCTCAGCAGTTAAGATCACTGACTGCTTGTCCAGAGAACCAACATGGCACCTCATAGCTGCTTGTAACTCCAGTTTCAGGGGATCCGACACCTTCATACAGACATACATGTAGGCAAAACATGAATGCACATGAAATAAAAATAAATTTTTAAAAAATAAAGAGAGAGCCGGGCGATGGTGGCGCACGCCTTTAATCCCAGCACTCGGGAGGCAGAGGCAGGCGGATCTCTGTGAGTTCGAGGCCAGCCTGGTCTACAAGAGCTAGTTCCAGGACAGGAACCAAAAGCTACGGAGAAACCCTGTCTCGAAAAATCAAAAAAAAAAAAAAAAAAGAGAGGAGTCAACATAGTAAGCTATTGGCTATAATCATCATTATGACAAGTACAGAATACAAAACAGACTTCCAGACTCCAGGTTACACTGTTGTCATTGCTTTTCTTTCTTTCTTTCTTTCTTTCTTTCTTTCTTTCTTTCTCTTTTTCTGGTGTGTGTGTGTCTATACAGCTAGGAATGACGTTATACTTCAGATTCACCTTGCTGGGCGGTGGTGGCATATTCCCTTAAACCCAGCACGTGGGAGGCAGAAACAAGCAGATCGCAGTGAGTTTGAGGCCAGCCTGATTTACAGAACAAGTTCTAGGACAGGTTCCAAAGCTACAGAGAAACAAACTTCCGATTCACCTCCTGAGAGCTGTGATTACAGACTTGCACAACCACACCTGGTTTGTATGGTCCTGGTGGTGACAGAACCCAGGTCGTAAAGCTAGATAGGCAAACACTCGACAGACTGAGCTACATCCCAGACCCTTTCAGATATTTTCAATGGAATAGATAATCCTGCTTTCAAGATTCATATTTAGTCCATAGAAGATAAAATGTAATTTAAAAAACATTGTGAGCTACGTGGTTATGCACACACCTTAAATCCCAACACTAGGGAAGCAGAGGCAAGTAGATCTCTGTGAGTTCAAGGCCAGCCTGGTCTACACAGTGAGTTCTGGGATAGCCAGAGAGCTATCCTAAAACTTACAAAAAGAAGTCCTGTCTTGAAAAAACAAAAAATAAGACACTAGTTTATAGCAACTGCCACACTTATTTTGTAGGAGAAAAACATACATTAAAATGAAGCCCTGGCCGGGCGATGGTGGCGCACGCCTTTAATCTCAGCACTCGGGAGGCAGAGGCAGGTGGATCTCTGTGAGTTCGAGACCAGCCTGGTCTACAAGAGCTAGTTCCAGGACAGGCTCCAAAGCCACAGAGAAACCCTGTCTCGAAAAAACAAAAAAAAACAAAAAAAACAAAAAAAAAACAACAAAAAAAAATGAAGCCCTGAGTTGGGGGAGATGGCTCCGTGGGTAAGTTCAGATCTCCTGACTCCACATCAAGACAGATGTGGTAGTGCACAACTACAAATTCAGTGCTCCTCCAGTGAGAGGCCGAGACAGAAACCACTCCAGGAGCTATGGGGGTAGCAGCTGGGCTGCTACACTACAGCAAAGGAGATCCTGCCTCAAGAAGGACCAAGATCCAAGGCTGTCCTGTGACCTCCATACACTGAGATATGCAACCTACAAAAACAAAGGCAGTACTTGTGGACTCACCCGACTTCTGTTAATTCTTCTATACCCTTTTCCCTCTTCCAATTAGTGCCCTTCCACTGCCAGCCCTTCGTTGTTATCTCAAACAATAATCCACACAGAGAAGTGCTTTGAACTGCTAAACAGCTATTTTAAGTGCTTGGCTACAATTCTGAGCAGGTTAAGTTAGAAACTGAGCAAACTATCCCTATCAATGCATTTTCTTCTACAAGGTTACAGGTAACTCAGGCACCTCAAATACGGGCTCTCTGAAGACCCTTGAGACTCAAAAGGCAATTTAAAATAGTCTGTTTAGACCACTAACTTTTAAATGTGAGGCAAGGGGCTGGAGAGATGGCTCAGTGGTTAAGAGCATTGCCTGCTCTTCCAAAGGTCCTGAGTTCAATTCCCAGCAACCACATGGTGGCTCACAACCATCTGTAAAGAGGTCTGGCGCCCTCTTCTGGATTTCAAGCATACAGACAGAATATTGTATACATAATAAATAAATTATACATAATAAATAAATATTAAAAAAAATAAATGTGAGGCAACTAGTGTTACCTAATTCAGCTTCTTTATATATAGAAACTTGATTATAGCAAAGTTAGTTTTCTAGGAATTTATATAGCAACAATAATTTAAATTGAGTCTGACCCAAAACAATACTAAATTTGCTGCCCATTAAGCAATTTTTTTAAATTAATTAACTAATCTGTTTGTTTAGGTTTTTGAGACAGGCTCTCACTATGTAGCTCTGGCTGTCCCAGAGCTCACTCACTGTGTGGACCAGACTGACCTCAAATTCAGAGATCCACCTGCCTCTGCCTCCCAAATTCTGAGATTAAAGGTGTTTAACACCATGCTCAGCAACTTAATCTCTTGAAGCAGATATTGCTATTTTCAAAGAAGATGGGCTCAGATGAAATTACCCCCCCCCTTTTTTTTAACCTATGCAGCAAAATCAAGGATTAGAAGTTGTTCTTCCTGGGTCTGGAGTCCTATTTTAGTAGTTCAGAATGGCGCAGAGCACATCCCAAGGACTCCCATTCAAATCCCAGCACACAAGTCAGTCAGTCTGTTAGTCAGTCTATCTGTCTTTTCTCTCTCACACAATTAAGTTTAGGGGAAAAAGCCTAGAGTTTTTGTTTTTTTTTTTTTTTTTTTTTTTTTGCAGTCTATGTTACTGAAAAGCAAGTTCCAAAAATTAACTTGTTTTTCGAGACAAGAGTTTCTCTGTGTAGCCCTGGCTGTCCTGGACTCGCTTAGTAGATAAGGGCAGCATCAAATTCAGAGATCTTCCTTCCTACCTCTACCTCAGGGGTGCTGGGATAAAAGGTGTTCACCACCACTGCCTAGCCCAAAAATTAACTTTTAAGGGCAAGAATACCTATGTTAACTGCACAGAAACAAGTGGGTTTGCATTTACTTACAACAAACTCCAAACTCAAGAGACAGTAATTCTAAACTCATTACCAAGTCCTCAAGCCAGCTAGAACACAGCAGTGGCAATGAACAGTTCAAGGATACACTTTTTACATTAAAAACAAAAAAATACAATGACTGCAGAATAACCACTTAATGTTCTGGGAATTTTCACAGAATTTCACGAGTTTGCACAATTAAAGCCATTTAAAAATAAAACTACGTTAACATGGATCACTACAATGAACAACCCAACTTCAGCCGGTAAAATATGTAATCTGAAAGTACTATCTCTGAGGAAAATGTCATAAATATGCTGTTCTGGAATGCATGTGCAGCCTAGCAACCACTTTTAAAGTTTCATTTGCCCGCCTCTCTCTCTCTCCTCTCTCTCTCTCTCTCTCTCTCTCTCTCTCTCTCTCTCTCTCTCGGCTTTCAAGACCTAAATATCTTTATGGATCAGACTATTTAGTCAAGCTCTTTCCCACTGACCAAATCTTTTGAGTGGTACCTCCATTAATAACTACATGAACAACCCAGTTTTTTTTTTTAAAAAAAAAAAAGGGAAAAAAGGGGAAGAAAACAACCACCCACCGGAATTTGGCATTAAAAAGTTAATGGGGGGGAGGGGGAGAAAAAGAGAGGGAGAGAAAGGAAGAGGGGAGGAGGAGGAGACGGGAATGAGGGAGGGAGAAAGTGGGAGTGTACTTTTGGGCCTTACTCTTCAAAATTCACTTACAAGGTAAAATTTCATAACCATTTAGAAGTTACCAGGACATACAAGCAAAAGGGCATAAACGAACTTAGTATTTTACTTCCTCCTTCGCCCCATCCCTACCGCCGAATGATCATGTCCTGTACTACATGCTCCCGGTTTCTAAGGCTAGAAAAAGGTAGACAATTTTCTTCCACTAAGATTTAAAAAAAAAAAAATCGGTTTAATGTGGCAAGCCACAGGAAAGGGCAAACCGGTGGAGAAAGAGCAACGAAAAAGAGAAATCCATCCCAGAACGGGAGCCCTGGAAGCGCGCGCTCCTTCGGCCACTCTAGCTCTCGGAAACCAGACAACTTAAACCAGGTAATAACGCCCCAGCAACCGCAGGTGACGCCGGCTGCTAAGCCAGGCTTCCGGGCCCCTCAGGGGTGTGACACGGGGACCAGACCCGCAGTGACAGACTCCGGGTGCCGCCAAGGACGGAGGCGCGCTCCGGTCACCCCGGCTTAGCTCGGGTGGGTGGGGCGGGCCCGGGCGGCCCGCGGCCCCGCAGAGGCGAGGGTACCCGCTCACTTTTGAAGAAGCGCAGCGCCAGGCCGTACAGCTCCTCCAGGCCGAAGCCCCAGTGCTGCTCCATCCGCCGCGCCTCCTCGGCCGCACCCTCAGCCGCCGCCGCCTCCCCGGGCTCCGGCTGCTGCCCTGCGGCGCCTGGGCCCCGTCCAGTCCCGGGGGGCGAGGACGGCGACGGCAGCAACGGGGCACCCTCCGCGCCGGGCCGCTCCTCCGAGTCCGGGCTCAGGGTGAGGCCGTCGAGCGACACCTCGAGCTGCTGCTCTACGTTCAGCTGCGCCGCCATCTCCGCTCCGAGCGCCTCCTCGGCGGGCACAGGCGGCGGCCACGTATCGACTTCCTGCTGACCTCTCACCTCCGCTCGCCGACACCGGAACTTCCGCTGCCGAGGCGGCTCGGGCGTGAAGGGGGCCTGGTGCCCCGCCCCCGGGCGTGTGGGTCGCGCCCCTGCCGCTCCTTCTGCTCGCTGGCTTGCTCGGGACTACGTGTCCTGCTCCGGTCGGGGCCTCACGCCCCTCTCCGAGCTCACCCCTCCCTTCCGCCGGGGCGCTTCTCCCGCTGCAGCGTTCGCAGGGGACCCGGCCGTCCTCCCGCTTGGATCGGGGGCGCGGGAGGTGAACGCACGCCTTGGTCCGACCCTGCAGGGAAAGTCTGCGAAGAGTCGCTCTCTGCACGCCCGGTTCAGTTAGTCTACACAGAGACTCTGAGGAGATGCAGGGCAAATGGCAGACAGTTTTTATTTTTAAGTAGAAAACAAGGTATTCCTCCCCCAGAGGCTTCGTCCTCACTTTTCCCTTAATCATTGTCTGCTAGGCGGGGAGTGTTTGCGTATTTGCTCTGTACCTCAGGCAGGCCTTGAACTCACTTAGCTAACGTTGGACTTTTGTCTAGCCTCCCACTTCAACCTCCCAAGCGTTTTGACTGCAGGTGCACACCTCTGGGACCAGCACTAAGGATAGCTGAGACCAATTCAGCTACCAGTGTCCCAAATGCGTAGGACCAGAGGACAGAGTCAGTGCGGCGGGTACAGGAAAGTAGATGGTAGTTATGGAGAAACTGTCTTGAGAGTACATATCAGTCTTTTTTGTTTTTTTAGTTGGTTTTTTGTTTTGTTGTTGTTTTTCTTTTTGGGGGGTTGGAGTGGGGGAGTGTTTCTAGACAGGGTTTCTCTGTGTAACAGCCCTGGCAGCACTAGAACTCAGATCCACCTGCCTCCACCTCCGAGTGCTGGGATTAAAGGTGAGTGTGCCCAGCTGGTTTTGTTTTTGAGACAGGGTCTAGAGCTGCATAGCTCTGGCTGTCCTGGAACTCACTATATAGACCAGACCAGACTGGCCTCAAGCCAGAGATCCACCTGCCTCTGCCTCCAGAGTGCTGGCATTAAAGGTGTGCCTGGCCTTCTGGCGGTTGTTCCCTAGCAGAGTCTTCCAGTCATTAAAAGTGAAAAATCGCAAGCTTTTCCTGTACCATTCCCTGGACAAACCCTAGGAATGTCTTACTGAGTGGGTAACTGAGGGACACACACTTGGTGTCAGTTCCGCTCAACACACATTTAAGGACTACCTTGTATATCAGAAACTGTGGAAAAGACAAATGTGAGGAGTTGTGTCCAGCCCCAAGGCATCATGGTCCAGGGGCTGAGCCCAGAACAGAGCACTGTAGTAGGGCCAGGCTGCTGGAAGGTCCTTCAGCCTCAGTGACCTTGAGTGGGTTCCCTAACTTCTCTTTCCTCCCTTGTAAGATGGAAACAATGGACTCACGAACCAGATAGAAAAGTAAGCAATCTAGTAACTGTGGGCTAACCTTACTGGTCCAAACTGGTGCTGTGAGGAGGTCTTGTGTACTCTAAGTTCACAGCCATTCCTGTCCTGTGTGACAAGACTCGGTCCAAGCTGTTATCTATCACAGGCCACGTAAAATGACAGATTGATGATGTTATCAAGTGACATCGGTCACGTCTCTCAGTCTGTTTCTGTGCTATTGCTTCATACCACAGTGTGGGCGGTTTATGAAGAGCAGGCCTTTATTTCTCACAGCTCTGACAGCTGAGATGTTCAAGATCAAGATACTGCTGTCTAGAAGGCTGGTTGTTGGGTGACCACTTCCTCCAAGATTAAGACAATCCATCCTGCAGGAAGGCCAGCAACTCAAAATAGTTTCAGGAGCCCCTGAAACTAACCAGATTCATTAGGCCCCTTCCTGTCAGAGTAAACTATTAGAGCTGATGTCCCCCTCAGACCACAGGAGAGCTGCACGGTAAAGAAGACTCTGAGAGCAGGCCAGCTGCCTGGAAGCAGCAGAAACCAGCCTTTCTGCCTGGAAGAGGTTTGGACCAACTGAGACACCCGAGAGGGACTGTCTTCAACCGTTGAGCTGCCTGCAGGCTGTGCAGGGTGCTCCATGTTCTCAGCTTTGTGAGCTGTCACTAATGCTGGGGTGAGCCTTGGTGATGCAGCTGTCTTTGAGTCATCTCTGCTCCTGGAAGTAATGTCAATAAAATTTAGCGTTTGCCAACTTGGACTTTGGTGGTATCTGTACTTGGGTCCATCGTGGGCTCCGTATCAGGGGTGCGTAGACCTGTGTGATGCATCTTCCCAGGAGAGGTTTTGTCACACAGTAGTGATAAGGGCCCACTTTCTGGTCCCTGGGCATCCATGTTCTTGCTATGTTCCCCCATGGTAGGAAGAACAGGGCTGCTCTTGGGGACCTCTGAATAAAGATGATTATCTCATGTGGGTGATGCCCTTGTGGCCAATCACCTCCCCGACCCTCTTCCTCACACAGTCCCATTACATGGGGGTTAGATTTTAACATATGAATTTTGGGGGACATTTGGTCTACAACACCACAGCAGGTGAGTGTGTGTGTGTGTGTGGGTGGGTGGGTGGGTGGGTGCAGAAGAAAGAGGCTGAGCACTGTGCAAATGGCTGCCATCCCAGCATGTGGAAATGAAGGTAGAAGGTCAAGAGTTTAAGATTGGGCTGAAGAGATATCTCAGTGTTTGAGAGTACCATCTGTTCTCCCAGAGGACCTGGGTTCAATTCCTAGCACCCACATGGCAGCTCACAACTGTCTGTAATTCCAGTACCAGGGCTTCTGACACCTTCACACAGACATACATGAAAGCAAAATACCAATGACTATAAAATTGTTAAAAGTTTCCAGTCATCCTCTGCTACAAACTGAGTTTAAGGCTGACCTGGGCTCCCTGCAACATTGTCTCACACACACAATCACACGCACACACACGCATGCACACACACATGTATACACACACACACACAAACACATGTACGCAGGAACCATTGTCTCTATCTAGAAGAGAGAGAACTCATTTCTTCCCTGGTCTTATGGTGCAGTGTTAGTATGTTTAGGCTGTCTCTTCATGTGCTCCAGAAAGCTCCGCAGGGCAAGTGAGAAGGTGTAATCTCCAGTAGCTGGCATCGTTCCTTTCGGCCTGCCGGCACAGAATATCTTCTCTTATTTTGAGACAGCTTTCCTATGTATCTCAAACTGGCCTCAGACTCACTATGTAGCCCAACTGACCTTAAGCTTAGGCAATCTTCCTGCCTCAGCTTACTGAGTGCTGATGTTGCTGGTGTGAGCTACACCACACTTGGCATCTCTTCCCTTCCCCTCTTTTTCTCCCTCCCTCCCTCCCTGCTTGCTTTCTGAGAAAATCACATGTAGCCCGGTCTGGTCTAAACTTTCTGTTTACTGAAGCATGACATGTAACTATTTTTTTATCCATCTGTGCATGACACGGAACATGTCGGGGATCAGGAACCGCTCGTTCTCTCATTCACCATGTGGGGCTTAGTGATCCAGCTCAGCTTGTCAGGCTTGGCAGCAAAAGCCTTTGCTCACTGACCCGTGTTATTGGCCCAGCACGAAACACCTGGTCCTCATTCCTCTACCTCCAGGTCTTGGATTGCAGAAAAATTTAGAAGCTATTCAGTTTTTCTCTTTTTTGAAACGTTATCCTGGCTTCAAACTTCTGGGCTCAAGTTATCCTCCTGCCTCTGCCTCCCCAGTAGCTGGGACTACAGATGTTTACCACTCCACTTGGCTCAAAACATTCTTTTTGAACCAGCAGTGGTGGCCTTTAATCCCAGCACTCAGGAGGCAGAGGCAAGCGGATCTCTGTGCTTTCAAGACCAGCCTGGTCTATAAAGAGAGTTCCAGAACAGCTAGGGCTGTTTGTTTCACAGAGAAACCCTGTCTCCAGAAAACAAGAACCAAAAACTAACAAACAAAAACATTTAAGGATTTATTTTTATTGCTTATTTGTGTATGTGTGGGGTGGGTGCCTGAGGAGGCTCCTTCAGTTTGCTACAGCTGGAGCTGCAGGCCGTTGTGAGCCATCTGATGTGGCTGCTTGGAACTGGACTCTGGTCCTCTGCAAGAGCATCAAGTGCTTTCAGGCCATCTCTCCAGCCTCTGAAACCATTCTTAAGACGTGATTCCGCTAAGACATTTTTGATACGTTTTCATGTTCAAATGTAAAAGTGATGACATTGTGGCACACCCCTTTAACCCCAGCATTTGTGAGGCAGAGGCAAGTGGATCTCTGTGACTTCAAGGCCACCCTGGTCTACATACTAGTTCTAGTCCGGCCAGGGTTACAGTAAAACCCTGTCTCAAACAAATAACAAAAAAATCACAAAAGGAAGAGGAGAAAGGGAGGGAGTAGAGGGAAAGGGGAGGGGAAGACGTGGTGAAGATGGATAAAGGCCTTCCTAGGGATTCATTCAAGTCCGAAGTTTAAGTTTCAAGATCCCTCTGCGCCACCTGCTGCCCAGTAGCGGTAGTGCTGCATCAGCGGGGCAGAATGGGGCTGTCAGAGCTACTCCACCCACTCCTGGTGGAAAAAGATAGGACAGCCTGCAAGGGGAGGTGAAGCTCTATGCTGTGCACACCTGGGAGGCAGACAAGCACAGCTGAGGAGTGGTCATCCCCAGGCAGTGGTCCACAGAGGACAAAAATGTTCCCAATAAGAACTAAAGTTCAGCAGGGTGGTGGTGGCAGAGGCAGGTAGATCTCTGTGAGTTTGAGGCCCGCCTAATCTACAGAGAGAGTTCCAGGACAGACAGAGCTACACACAGAAACCCTGTCTCAAAGAACACAAAAATATTAAAAATAAAAAATTAAAAACTAAAGTTCAACAGGACATGGTCATATGATTTAAGCTGCATTGTATGTGTTCATGTGTATATGTGCATGTACATATATGTATCTGAGTGTGTATTTGCATGTTCATGTGTTTGCATGTAGTATGTGTGCATATGTGTGTATGTAGCATGCATAGATATATGTGAGGTGTACTTCTGGAAGTCTTCTCCTATCACTGTTTACCTTACACCTTTGAGT